CCTACTCGGGCGCCTTCGTCTGCCTGGAGATTGTAAGTGGGGCAGCCTGGCGAGGGTGGCTCCCGGGGAGCGAGGACCCAGAGCGGCATCCTTGTCGCCCACCCACGCTGACTCCCTCTGCCTCCGCCCTCGGCCTCCTGCCCTTCGAGGTGGCTTTTCCTGCGCCCCTCTTGGGGGACCTCTGCAGGCTAGGCGCAGCCGCCTGAGCCCTCTTGGCCGGCACCTGTTACACTGGCACCTGCTCGCCCGCTGGCGACGGAAATGGCCTTAGAGAGCGAGCAGGCAGCCCGGTGGGGCAGAGGATTAGAGACTTTGGGAAAGAGAGAGGTGTTTGGGCTTGGAGGCGCCTTCGGAGACTCAGGGTTTGGCCAGGGGCCGCGCATTTGGCCTCGCCTGTTGCTAACCTGCCATTTTGTTGGGTGGTGCAAAGGTGTACCGAATACTGGGTGACCCAGAGGCTGCCAGGATGTGGAAAGCGGGGGCGGGAGGCACCAGGAAGAGGAGGAGGGAGGCTTTAGAGCTGGGCATGTTTTTACCCCACTCACTCTTGCCATTATTAGTGCCCTTTGGATTGGGGAAAGGAACGGGGCGCAGGAGATAGGGCAGGGAGAAAGGTGAGGTTTGTACGATGCAGTTGGCAGTTTCTAATCAAGTGGGCGTGAGAATGGAAAAGGAGTGGTGGAAGCCTGGCTGGCAAGTACTTCTCTGCCTGCCTCTGCACCTTCTCCCTTCCTAAGGTACCTACGAAATTCCAAACCTTGTCAACACACTTCGTTGGGCCTAAGTAAAGGTGGGATCACCTAGCCTTTGGTGCCATCAACCTTCTTGGGTCCTTCGCTTGAACTTATTAAAAGGAATTTTATGGAGTTGGAAGGTTTTGAAGCTCATTGTGTACAAGAGGGTAATGTGCAAATATGAATTGGGCAACCGAGGTTGCATCATGCCCTGAGAATGGCAAATAAATAGTGAAATGTTCGCAGTGCCTTTCCTGAATGCTGGTTTTGTTTGCTCAGTTTGGGGTTTTCATATCTTCCCCCATCCTCTTTGAGTTTGCATAACCAGGATTTGGGACACTTCGGTTTCACTTTTGTGCCTGGGGGGCTGGAACACCTTGTAAGCATTGGTTTTCTGCCTTATTATGCTAAGCCACTCTAAGTTAAATTTAGCTCAGATTTTAATCTGAAGGAATGGACACTAGTAAGTTACAGGCAATGCCATCAATAATCATATAGTGACTGTTAGGCTAGTGTGAGTTTGAGTTCGTAGGGAGTTCAGAAGCATCCAAATGCTCGGGATAAGGAACAGGCATCCATGTGAGAAGAACAGGAAGAGTTTGGCATTGGATCAGCTGCACAGCTGTGAGAGGGAGACACTTTAGAACAGCAAGATCTGGGAAGAAAGATTTCATAGACTCTGGGCTACTTAAGTTCCAGGTTCTTCAAACCCCAGGTGTTTGCCTAACTCTTTTAGAAGTTTCCGCCATATCCACATGCTACCCATACTGGAATTTACAGAATGTTCATGTAAATATACTCTCTTTCTAAATTTCAATTAGAAGTTAACCTTATCCTAAGCAATAATATGAATGGAACCTCAAATTTGATATTCTGGTTATATGTTTCTGATATTTATTGATAGCTTTATACAGTTGCATATGTACATAGAGAGATACATATATATGTATATGTAAATATATGTATATAGGGGGAAAAAAAGCTTATCCATGTGCTACCAGGCAAATATCACCTCAAAAACAATCTACGGTCATGTGACACTGTCAGAAACACTGTCTAATTGTGGGAAGAGGGTGTGGAAGGTGACTTATTCAATTTCCCCTTCCTCTACCCCATATCTTTCTTTTTATCTAGCCCAGTGGTTAGTTCTCAATTCTTGCTGTACTTAATAACTTGGTGGCTTTTAAGGTTGCCAGCCCAGACTAATTAAATCAGAATCTCTGGAGGAGCACCCAGGATCAGCTCTTTTTTTTTTTTTTTTTTTTTAAGTTTCCCTGGAGATTCTAATACCCAGTCATAACTGGGAACCACTGATGGAGGCTTCCTCTAGGCTCTATAAAGAAGACAGTTGTAGGGCTAGGACTGTGGCTCAGTTGTAGAGCGCTGCCTAGCATGTGTGAGGCCCTGGGTTCAACCTCAGCATCACATAAAAAATAAATAAATAGAATAAAGGTATTATGAAAAAAAATTTAAAAAGAAGACAACTCTTTTCTTGAAAATTCAGATTGTTCACTTGCCTGAATTTCCATTGCTCCCCATCCTAAGAAGGATCCCAGACTCAAAGAAGTATCTGGTCCATTTCTCTTATTCATTTCCTCTGGCTTCTTACTTAGATAGAACAGCATCACTTCCAAAAGCCATTTTAATGTGCTTTTCACATTTCATGGTCAAACATCTTTATAAGTTTAAATCTTAAGTCTCTAGTACCTGTTTTACTTGCATTTTGCTTCCCTCCACCCTCCTCCAATAAAAAAGGATCAAAATATTCCAGTGAAACTAGTGACCTTAGAGAAACAAGAGACCACATTGGAGCCAAACTTGTTGCTCCTTCTTGGCTCTCATCCTTCTGAAGTGCTTAAGTTGTTGGATTATGTATCTCAAGGACACAGAGATCAAGGCTGCATTATACCCCTCTGTGTAGAATGCCACCTTCAGGGATGTACAGATGGGAAATAAGTAACCAATTTCAATGCACCTTTGTTCCCAACTTTCTCCATACTTTCTACTTTCCTGATTTCTTTCTGACTCCCTAGTCAGTCTCCCATGGCTCCTCTTTAAACATTCCTCTCACTGAAAATTAAATATGCGAATTCCTCAGATACTCTACTAATAGTAAGTGATCTCCATTGAGGGACTAATTATTTTAGTCTCTGCCAATATTTCTGGGTATCTCCAAACTCCTTATTAATTTTGACCTCCCATTCAGGTCCATTTTTCCCCAGGGTTTCTTCATTTATGTCTTGTTGCCCTCTGAATCTTAACATGTGAAAACTATCCTGTGAAGATAGACTAGACTGTCAATAGGGTTCTAAGCTAATGATACCGTGATATTGCAGTTCCATTGTCAAATTCACCAGTTAACTTTGCTCAAAGTATTCAATCCCAATCCCCTTTATTATATTTCATTCACATCTTTCAGGTATAAGCCATTTGTTGGAAAGATAATACAAAAGATAAATAGTGCCAGCCTGCCAGAACCAGCTAAAGCAATTTATAATGCTGGTTTCAAAGGTGAAGAATATTTCACCCTCATATGCATAGTGTGGTTTTTTGAAACAGGTATGTTCCACTTCTGGATAACTAAATCACCAGCCATTTGATTTTTGGCTTCAGCTATACTTAACCAATGCATGCTTGCCACGGAGTTTACTACTAAGTTAATATTGCAAAGCCAAGCCTTTTAGTTTAGGATAGAAAACATCACCTTTAAAAGTTATCATTTTCAAAATTTCTCCATGTTTCTTCAAGGAATGTTCTCTAAATCATTCATCAGGTGTTTGCTGAGTACCTAATGTATGCAAGACATTCTTATGGGAATAAAAATGTTAGGGCCTTCAAGCCCTGGTAAACTAGTTGAAAGGATATGCAGGAAAATAGCTTCCACTTGGGGAAGAAAGAGATCCATGTTGGATGTGGACTATCCTAAAACATTTCCAGACAGGCCTGTAAGAAAAATACATTGGAGCAGCTTTACTATTGAACTGAAAAAAATTATTTAGAGTTCCTGTTCTCAATGAGACTGTCTTGCAAAATGCACTAGAAAGATTGAACATAAGAGTATTAATCATGAAAAAGAAGAGAAGTCACTATTCAGTTTATTTTGTAGTTTCATTGTTCAGAAAACTATCTACATTCCCCAAGTTATTCATTCACATCTCTCTTGATGAGAGAGACTGTAGGACTGTTTTTCACATGCTTAACAGCAGTGTTTGATGCCAGTGATTTTATTTATTTAACATAATAACATAATTAAGAATAGACCTTCAGGCCTTCCTTTATGCCCTGGAGATAGAATACATAATATAATTCTTGCCGTTAAAAAGATTATTGTCAGTCTGGCTTGGTGGCTCATGCCTATAATCCCAGTGGCTCAAGAGGCTGAGGCAGAAGGATTGCAAGTTCAAAGCCAGCCTCAGCAACTTTAGTGAGTCCCTAAGCAATGTAGCCAGAACCTGTTTCAAAATTTAAAAAAAAAAAAAAAAAAAAAGAGCGGGGCTAGGGATATGTATCAGTGGTTAAGCATCCCTAGGTTCAATTGCTGGTACAAAAAGAAAGAAAGAAAGAAAGAAAGATTATTGTTTGGTGGAATATAAAGACAAGAAAGAATTACATTGGTATATATGAAGTGTTAAATAGGTTTATGAAACTGGGTGTGGTGGTATACACCTGTAATCCCAGCAGCTCAGGAGGCTGAGGCAGGAAAATCACAAGTACAAAGCCAGCCTCAGCAATTTAACAAGACCCTGAGCAACTCAGCGAGACCCTGTCTCTAAATAAAATGTAAAATTAAAAAAAAAAAAGAGCTGGGGATGTGTTTCAGTGGTTAAGCACTCCCAGGTTCAATCCCCAATACCAAAAAATAAATAAAAAATAGGCTTTTGAAAATATTACAGAGGAGCAGGGTAGACGAGGTGGCTACTGGAGAGGCTGGGACAACCAACTTTAATGGTAAATTTGAGTTTAGTCTTAAATGATGATCGGCACTTCAATAGACAGAAAAAGTGGGGAAGAGAACTCTAGGTGGAAAGAAGGCCATATATGAAAACCTGAGAAACAGAAAGACAATGCATGGAGTTCTAGCAATTGTTAGTTTAACATGGCTGTTTTGAAGGTGGCAGAAACAGAAGGAAAAACTACAAGCAGGGTTCAGGTTGAATTTTGCTGGGGAGTAGGAGGCCAAGGCATTGAACTTATTCTGTGATGGGGAGCTGCTGAAGGACAGGGATGAACTTAGTCAGACTTGTGTCTTAGTCATTTTTAGTGAAGTTTGATGGTAAAACACAGAGATTGAAGGCAGG